AACAAACCCCAAAAAACAACCACCACCACCAAAAAAGCAACTTAAACATAATAGTAGCAAAAGATCGCCAGGTGTGGTGGTCCATGCCTGTAATCCCATGTCTCTTTTCTCAAAAAGCCTTCCCTCATTCTCAATCTGTAATCCCAGTAGCTCAGGAGGCTGAGGCAAGAGGATCGTGACTTCAAAGCCAGCCTCAGCAATGGTGAGTTCCCAAACAATTCAGTGTGACCCTGTCTCTAAATAAAAAATACAAAACAGGGCTGGGGATGTGGTTTAGGGGTCAAGTGCCCCTGAGTTCAATCCCTGGTGCCCTTCCCACACACAAAAAAGAAAACCAACAAAATACCATCCCCAGTACCTGGGCAGTAACTTCTAAACTTGTGGAATTTCCTGAGTGATATCTTCATTATTTATGGTGGGACCTTGGGCCCCATCTGATTGACTCTAACCAGGGATGGGGAGCTAGTCATACCAGAAAGACTAACCACGTGATTTTAAAGGGTTGAAGCTTTGAGCCACATATCAGCCCAACCTCCTGAACTTTAAGGAGGGGAAGGGGATTAGAAATTGAGTTCAGTCTTGGGACAAGTGATTCAGACAATCACAGCCATTATAATGAAACTCCAGTTAAAATTCCAGACACTGAAACTCAGTGGAGCTTCATGGTTTGTGAGAACACAGATGTGTGGGAGGGTCACATGTCCTAATGTCAAGGGGACACGGAGGCTCTGATTTGTATCCTTTATAATAAGTACAGTGCTTTTCTTGGTTCCACAAGTCATTCTAGCAAATTATCAAATATGATGGAATTGGGGGAAACCCTGACTTTGTAAACTTTATAGAAGTACTGCTGGTTTGTGGGCCCCGGAATTTGTGGATGCTCTGATGTGAGGGTATCTTCAGTCTTGTTGGGGACTCTTGTCTTTTAACTTGTGGGGTCTCAGGTAGCTCTGGAAGGTTAATGGCCAAATTGCCATTGAGGGCCACAGATGCCACCATAAGAAAGGACACAGCTGATTCCCCAGGGAGCTCAGATTCTCCAACACACAACTGCCTGGAGTTTGGGAGTGGGGCCAAGTCTTCACATCTCTGTCATGTGTTCTGGCTGCCCTTGGCATAGCAGCTCTCTTTAGCCAAGAGGTTTTCTGAACACAGCTGACAGCTGGGGGCTGTCTGTGGGCAGCACTGTGGGTTGCAGAGCCGTGTCTCATTCTCAAGTGGGATTTCACTGCAAGTCAGAGCGCCCACTATATTTTGTAACTATTTCTATCTCTTAAATAGTAGAGAGGATACGGTGATTAAAAATAGCACTGAAAATTATTTCAAATTTGTTAGCATTTTGTAACTAAAGATAACTCCAGAGAGGGAGATTGGTGGGTTGATCCTGGCAAGTCTTTGTGAGTGATCATATTGTCTTCCCACTTAAATCATTTTGCTGTCTTCCAATTGTTCAGGGATCGTGTCTTACATCTTCAGCAGGGCTCCCTGGGCTCTGCAGGACGTAGCTCTTCCTTGCATCTGGAGGACCACATTTTCCTCAACTCATGGCACACAGGGCATTCTCTCCATGGGTTGCACATGACTTTTTGAAATTTCAGGCCTCTGCTTGGAATGTTTGTTTCCCTCTTGGCCTAGGAATTTCTTTTCCCTCCCTCCCTCCCTCCCTTCCTTCCTTCCTTCCTTCCTCCCCACCCTCCTTCAATGTCTCTTTTCTCAAAAAGCCTTCCCTCATTCTCAGTCTAGATCAAGGCCACCTGCTACACTTGCTCATGGTGCCTGTCCTCTATAGATGGCCATAGCTCTACCAACAAAGAGACTAGCTAATTACTGTCTATCTCTCTCTCTCCCTCCAACAAGTTTCATGAAGTCAGGAACTGTGGCTATATTGTTCTTTTTTCTCAGCACTTAACTCAGTGTTAAGTGCCTAAACATTGGAGCTTAAAAAGTATTTGTTGCATCAACAAATAAATGAAGAAATTAAGGGACGGGCAACGGCAATTCAGTGTAGTGGTTAAATATGTGGGTTCTGAAGTCAGACTGGGTTCTAATCCCCCAAATATTGACTCATCTACTGAGAACTCTCAATATTAATTCTCCACTTGGACAATACTGTCAATTCACATTGACGATATCAGACTGGGAGAATTCATCTTCAATAACCATACCTTAGGAGAATAATGTAGAATGAGAATATCTACTTAGCAGGCAGCAGCTCAGCACAGCAGTTAATCACACATACTACTGGGCTGAATCCCAGAGCTGTCTGTTTGGTTGCAATACTTAGCCTCTCTGTGCATCAGTTTCCTCACCTGTAAGTGAGTAAAACTCACAGTACCTACCTATGAAAAGAGGATCAAATATGCAAGGAAGGGTGTCTGGTTCACTAATTTAGGTTAGGAGACACCTCTGGCTTGAAACCTGGAGCTCATAAGCAGCACAGAACATTTCTATCAGGTGACTAAGTTCAAATAATAGATCAGAGGGTTGTCTAGTAGATAGCAGGAGTACAGGAAATAGAATATACTCTGGAAATTTTCCAGCAAGCTGGGGCAGAGCATAGTGGGAGGCTCTTCTCTTTCTAAGGATAATTATACCTAAAAATCCAGTATTGTTTATTTAGTCCTGGAACTCCTCCCCTTCTCCCAAGGAGTGTGAATATCCTGGCAGACTCTGGACCTCTGTACCTTTTAAATTCTGGATTTCAGAAAGGCTACTATCCTTTCTTCATTCAGGTTACAACACAATTGGTTAGGATGGTTTTCTTTTTTTTTAATTTTTATTGTTGGCTGTTCAAAACATTAGATCATTAGATAGTTCTTGATATATCGTATTTCACACTTTGATTCAAGTGGGTTATGAACTCCCATTTTTACCCCGTATACAGATTGCAGAATCACATCAGTTACACATCCACTGATTTACATATTGCCATACTAGTGTCTGTTGTGTTCTGCTGCCTTTCCTATCCTCTACTATCCCCCCTCCCCTCCCCTCCCCTCCCCTCTTCTCTCTCTACCCCATCTACTGTCATTCATTTCTCCCCCTTGTTTTTTTTTCCCTTTCCCCTCACTTCCTCTTGTATGTAATTTTGTATAACCCTGAGGGTCTCCTTCCATTTCCATGCAATTTCCCATCTCTCTCCCTTTCCCTCCCACCTCTCATCCCTGTTTAATGATAATCTTCTTCTCATGCTCTTCCTCCCTACTCTGTTCTTAGTTACCCTCCTTATATCAAAGAAGACATTTGGCATTTGTTTTTTAGGGATTGGCTAGCTTCACTTAGCATAATCTGCTCTAATGCCATCCATTTCCCTGTAAATTCTATGATTTTGTCATTTTTTAATGCAGAGTAATACTCCATTGTGTATAAATGCCACATTTTTTTTTATCCATTCGTCTATTGAAGGGCATCTAGGTTGGTTCCACAGTCTTGCTATTGTGAATTGTGCTGTGGATAGTTTTCTTTAGACAGGCCCAAGGTCCAAAGGGAAAATCTCATTCTTGATTTCTGTCCCCCTTTTACCAAGTCTCCTTGTACGTTATTGAGAGGCTGATTCTCTTATGTTGGGAAATATCTGCAGGTAGAATTCTTTGTTATTCTCCTATTTCTCCACATTTTTAGAGCACTTTATAGCAGCGACCAAACAGAACCTGGAACCTGGGACTAGACTAGTTAGTATGAAATCTGGATATTGATTCTGTCTTTGACACTAATTGGCTATGTGAACATGATATTACCAAAGAGATTGCAGGTTCTCTCATTGGTAAAAATAGGGCAGAAAATCAGCTGGTAACTTTTTCAGGATTACAATTCAGTGATTATTCATCATGATCTCTGACAAAAGACAATACATGCAGTCAATGTAGATGTAAGGTGGAAAGCTTTACTGAATATTTTATAAGTAAAAAAAAAGGATATTCACTTTTCTTTGTGCCAATTTTGGTAGGTGGATTTGGTAGGATCTTATCAGTTTCAGTTGTATTTATCTTAGCTAGTTCAGCTCTGAGAATTTGCTGAGAACCAGAATAACAGTCTTCAGGGGAGCGATCAAATAGGCTCCTGTGAAAGACAGGGACTGTGGCTGGGGATGAAGCTCAATTGATAAGTGTTCACCCAGCATGCACAAAGCCCTAGTTTTGATCCCTGGCACAGCAAAAAATTAAAAGTTAAAAAAAAATTATAAGGGTTAACCCTGCTTGGGTTAATCCATAGACCTTTTTCTCTTCTTTGAGAATGAATGCAATGGGCAGACAGATTCTTCCCCCAAGTCATCCTGCCCCACCAATTTGCTCTCTTTTAGGGGCAGCCATAATGGCTGTGTGATTTATTGATCTCTCTTAGCGTTAACGTCCTTGTCTATGAAATACCTTGCAGGGTTGCTGTACAAAATGAGGACGGAGGTAGGGCTAACGCTGTGAAAGTGCATAAAAGGCACACAGGAAAAAAAAAAGTAAAATAAAGCGAATAGTGACCCTATAGATAATTTTCTAGTAAAAAAATCTATCTACAGCTTGCATACGTGTCTGTACTAGGTTAAAACAGGACAAAGTGAATTATGGCAAGTCTTAACGCTCTTTTCACCTCAGTTTTCTCATTGCAATTAATGTCTGGTGCAAGCCTGCAAGTTCTAGATCTGGAGTTATTAAATAGTTGTGTTCCAATTCTGCCTTTGCCACTTATTGGCTGTATGATCGTCATCAGTTTCTCAGCCTCCTTGGATCTCAGATTTTCCTAAATCTAGGTGATGCAGATGGGTAAGCCTTCCTAACTAGGACTGTACTTTTTCAACTTCCCAAATGAGAGGTTGAAATGGAGTGTCAAGGCCACCAGGCGCATCCCCGCCCTAGCAGCGGCTCCGACTGGCTCAAAGCTCGGGGAGGAGGGACAGGACCGGAGGAAAGGAGCGTGTTCTGACCAATCCCGTGGCTGGCGGGACCGCAGTTCCCGCCTCTGGGTCGCGTGTGCGCGCATCACGCACGCACGCTCAGCACGCACTCTGCGGAAGCGCGCGCGCAGGCCCAGCCCTCGTCGCCGCCGCCATTTTAGCTCCTGGTTCCGGCCGCACGGTGTGGGCTGTTGTAGCGGGAGGGGTGGGGGGTCCCCAAGAGTTAAGTCGCTGTCCTCCACTGTGCCGATACAGCCGCCAGCTTTTTTCTCCTTTCTTCCTTCTTAACCGCTCGCTCGAAGAGTGCGAAGATGTCCAAGCGGCACCGGTTGGACCTGGGGGAGGATTACCCCTCCGGCAAGAAGCGTGCGGGGACCGATGGGTAAGCCAGGCCGGGGGCGCGAGGCAGCGGCTCGGGCTTTGTTGGGGTCCGGGCGGGGAGCGGGCCACGACCGGCGTGGCCGAGCAGGTCGCGGAGCCCGAGCCTTTGTTTTCTTTGGGGCTCCGTTCAGCTGCGGTCCGGGCGGAGCGGCGCCGGTTCGGCCCGGCAAGGGCGCCGGGGATGTTGGCGGGGCCGGGTCGGGAGGTGGAGAGGCCTGTGGCGGCCACCAGGGCGCCGCCTCCGCCAGGCCCAGCCTGCCAGAGCCACTTTGGACGGAGCGGAGCAGGAGCAGAGCGCGGACCTCGTGGCCTCTGTTCCCGATTGAGGCCTGGTGAGGGTGGGGGAGGGCGCGGCGAGCGTTCGCGCCCAAGGGCACCGGGTTCCGGGCCGAGGGCCTGGGAAGGGGACGGCGCGGGGCCGCGAGGGCGGGGAGCGCGTGGGTTCTCGTGTGGGCTGCGGCGGGGGTGGCGGGAGTTGAGCGCCGAGTCCGGGGGCAGGGGGAGCGGAGGCCTGCGGGAGGAAGGCACCGGAAGGCTGCCTGGGGGGCCGGGTCCGGCGCCCAGGGGCGCAGCGTGGCGGGAGAGCGCGTCCCTCCGTCCATTCAAACACTTCGGAGTAGACTGCAGGCAAACTTCCGTCGGCCGCCCACTCTCCCGCCATCTCCTTTATTTCCTGCTTTGGTGAAGACGGTGCTAGGGCTAGGAGTTGGCAGGCATGCTTTTCCCACCTAAGTTTTTATTTGAAGGAGCTTTTGAAATACGGAGACCTTATTCAAGAAGTGGTTTTCATGCTCATGGCAAAATGTCGCCATGTGGAGGTTGAGAAATACAAGATTCATAGTGTTCCGGATTCCTTTTCCTTAGCCTTTCCCTAAAGGTACCGAGGAACTTAGCAGATAACTTGAGGAATTGTATCACAGTCATTTTCTTGTCCAGTCAGTGTGTGTTTTCACTCTTGAAGAGCAGAATTCTCTGGGTAATTAGGCAAAAAGAAAAACCTCAAACAAAAGTTCGAATGTCCAAATACCTTGCATAATTTCATCAGTTTTCCACGTAATCTTTACTGTCAAGGTGGAGTATAAACCAGAATGGGATGTACTTTTTGATACCTTACATATATATTTGTTACATACAGAAATATTTATGCTGTTTTATTTTTGTAGGTTTTTTAGAAATTATGATATTAGGTATAGTAATCATACAATAACATAAAAACACCGCGTCTTAGACTGCTCCCTCAAAAAACATGAGCACGTTTAAACTCTGTCACAGATCTTTAGAGTTGGAAACAACTTTCAAAAGAGTATAATCAACTCCATTCAAGAAATGAGAAATGCAGACGGGGTGGAGTTAAGTGGATTGTGCAAGTTAACAGTTTTATAGTGGGATCTGGAATGCTGCCTTTTGAATTTCCACTCTCTGACACACAGTCTGATACTGTACTTAGAATCATTACAGCTTGTTTTAGTGACATTTATAATAGGTTGATAAAGCAGGGAACACTTGGTTCTTGATTTCCTTTCAAGTAAAAATAAAATTGCTTGTCCTTGGCTAAGATGCAGCTAATATCTCCAGTAAGAGGTCAGGTTGGATCAAAGTATACTGGAGAATTGACTCATCAGGTTTATTGTGTATAGGCACCATTTAAAATGGCTTTCCTTGGGATTAATAGTCTCATGATACACTTAGGTGAATGTTCCAAAACAGATATCCTAAGTGGATTTTTTGGGTCTCTGATTCCCCATGATGTTTGAGATTTGCCTGTATTGTGGAGTTCATCCATAAATAGTGCTTAAGGTCTGGATAAATTCTGGAGGGAGTTTTCAAACTAACTTCTGTGTCATTTGAGTGCTATTTCTCACAGGGCTAGTTTTCTTTAGCAGTGGACTTCTGAAGTTCGTTATGGCTCAAGGTGTGAAATATCAAATTTCCCCCATTTGATAATTTTAAGTAACTTGTTGAATGGCCAACAAACCTGTAGTGTTTTTTTGTTGTTGTCGTTGTGTTTTAGTGCTGATAGTTAGGAGGCGTATTTGTTTGAGAGCACAGGCATATCATTTTTGTGAACTCTTTTGTTAAACATGATTGTCCCATTTCTCTAGTACTAAGAAGGGAGGGTCATTTACTTAGTGGGAGATTTCATCCATGTTCTTGCTAGTATACTATATAAGGGTTTATTCACTCCTGGCATTTTTTTGTTTGGGAGCAGGTGGAGAAGTTAGAGGTCTCTTACGTATTCTGCCTCTTTCCTTTTTTCCATGACCCTATAGAGTCTTCAATATAATGTTACTAACAAACAACAAAACAAACCTCTATGAAGTTGGGAAAACACACTAGATGTTGGCTTTTTGATATTTCCTGATCGATACATTGGTTGTTTATTATTATATACATTGACATAATACAAATAGAGCACATAATGTACACGTGACACTTCCAGACTTTTTACATGTATAAACACATTTTTATGACAGTCCTATATGATAGGTGAAGAAAGTTGCAGAAATAAAACAGAAAAGGCAAATTCCTGGAAATCTACGAAAAACATTTTGTGATGAACAATTTTGGACAGTCTTGGCATTTTTACTCATGACTATGAAGTATAATATGAATATCAGTAGAATCTCTATTATGTGCTTTTAGTTTTGCTCGGATGTCATTAACTATCCTTTTCATTGGCTGTGTAGTACTCCACTTGTAAAGATATATCATAGCTTATCCAGTATCCTGTTCCTTGCTGTTTAGGTGGTTTCCCAGTTGTCATTTTATAGATTAAAAGTATCATGAACATCCTTATGTATACATATTTGCACACTCATGGGATTGGAAGCTTGTGGAAATAAGATTGCCAGAAAAGCAGTGTGTGTTCAAAATATTCTGATTTTGATGACCAGCTTACATCTTCATTTGCAGCATTTTAATACCTATTATCCCTCGTGAATTTTAAATCCCCCCACCCCCCACCATACCAGGGATTGAACCCAGGGCTACTTAACCACTGTGCTACTTCCCCAGCCCTTTTTATTTTTTATTTTGAGATAGGGTTTTGCTAAGTTGCTGAGGCTGGCTTTGAACTTATGATCCTCCTGGCTTAGCCTCCTGAGTCACTGGGGTTACAGGCATGTCCCTCCATGCCTGGCTTTTATCATGGTAATTCTAACTTAAAAAAAAAGAAAAACTTTAATAATAACCAGCATTTACTGGGCATTTTCAGAGTTAGACAACACTTTCTCGTGTTAATTCATTTAATCTTTTCAGTACCTCACAAGGCATTAATAGCTGTGTTTTGAGATGAGAAAAGAAATACTGTTATATAGCTACCTTAAGTGCTGAGCCAGAATTGAGCTGAAAAATTATATAGAATCATACAATTTTTGTGCTTGACAAAAACACATATTTAAAAAAGAAAATATGCATAAGTACAAGCCTATACATATTTATGAAGCAGAGGGTTTAAGTTCCCACTTAACAGACTTAATTTTTATCCTCCCTATCCTATTGAAGATAGATAGCTTGAACCATAAGGCAGTATTTCTAGGTGACTGAATTGTTTTCTACATCTGCCTCTTTCCTTTTTTCCATGACCCTATAGAGTCTTCTCTGTTACTTTCTTACTTTAGTCTTACTAATACTTTTCACTATGCAGATTAATAAATTGAGGCTTACGCCTTACCTGTGGTTATACCCCTTTTCTTTCTATACTATGATTGCCTGCATTTCTTGGTCAGCTCCTAATCTTTGTGTCTTCAGAATGTATTTGATATTTGCTTCCTGTGTTGTAGAGGTTTTTTTTTTTTTAATGAAGCTATGGATGAAGTTGATCTCTGAAAACCATTCTTTGTTGGCACAGGACTACAAGAGTATGTAATACATAGTTTACTTCTTCCATAATCCCTCTTCCCCCCAGTTTTGTAGCTATTGAATTTTTGGTCCATATCTTAAGTATCTGATATTATGTGAGAAGTACAAGAGGAATTTATTAAACATTTTCTTTTCTCAGTCCTTCTTTTCTTCCCCATGATGGTATGAGTATTAGAAGCAATCCTTTTCATTTAGACCAGATGTTCTTAAAGGGTTCACTCTAGTTTTGTGTACCATTATCTTTCAGATGTCTACTCTGAATTATTTGTGACTATAGTGCTTCTCACTTGGTGAGCATATTTCTGCTTGCCCAATTGTAAACTATTCCCCATCCACATTTTGGGCTAATATGAATGCTTATTAAATTTGTTGAGCACTATGATAAGGTGGAAGGAGAGAAAGAAAGCAGATAGTTGATAGCATATTTCAAAGATAGGTCAGGACTCTAAAATTTTGAATTGTGAGACTCCATTTTATGGTTAGTCATTTTTCAGATTTTCTTTTGGTTTTGAGTAAAACTTTCTAGCTTGTATGCCCTATAATTCTGTAGCATGTGGACACTGAAATGGAAGAAGGAAAAATATCACCTGTTTAAAACAAGGATTTTCCCCCTTAAGTCTTTTTTTTTTTTTAAATGGAATAGAATGGCATATTTTAAGAAGGAAAAGATCCAATTTGATTGGTCAGCTTACCATTTCTATAAATGGACCATTCTGACTCAGTGCTGGGTTTAGTATTTTAGCTGTGGTCTGTCAAGAATTTACTATTGCCCCATTGATGTACCATTATGGAGAATGACTGCTCTTTCTCTGCTACTGATACTTACAGCACAGGAAACTTGTACTCATTTGTGTATTGTGAATAAGGAGCAATGACACATTTAGCTTCCTGTTGGTCCTCATTATTTTTAATCTGGGTCCCAACACCTTGTGGCAAGTTTCTTTGCTACAAACTCCTTTTTTGCTACAGGAGTTTGTCTGAAATAAAGTGGATTAGTAAAATGAGCAAGCAAAGATTATTTTATTTCTGTCACCAGGCCCTCAGAGGCCACCAGATACAGCCCTTTGTCTTGCTGCTTGTCAGTTTTCCTCACCTAGATTAGTTAAGTTATCATTGTATTGGGACAATCTAGTAACTAGAAGTATATATCATAATTGACTACTTAAAACTGGCCTAAGTTTAATAAAGTGGCTACCTGCATAATTTTAGCATTTTTTAAACAGCGGTAAAATGATGAAGCTAGTTTTAATTCGGCTATATTTCATTTATGGTTGGCCAGTATATGCGGATTTACCTTGTACTTCCAGTGTTTTACTATCCCCAAAGGCTAAATGCAAGAGTAGATACTGAAAGCAAAGGAATAAAAGTGTTTTGGAATTTTCGTTTTTCTTGTAAAGCAGTATACACTTACTGAATAAAATTGAGGAAGTACTGGAAAGTATAATTAAGAAAGCAAACTTGCAGATAATCCTCTAGTTCATATTTTTATTACTTGTGATACTGTGTGTAACATTGTACTGTGTTCTTTTCATTTAGCATTAGAACATAAAGCAAAGTGCAGCTTGAAGGAGAATCTAGGAAAGATTGTGGGGCTGTCTTTTGCCCACTCCAGCTGCAGTCTCTGACTTCTGTTGTCGAAATAGGAAGGTTTTTGTTTTTGTTTTTTTTTTTAAAGATTTGTTTCTTCGGATGTCTTAACCTTATGTTGAAGTTTGTAGTAAGATAATTTGAGGCATCATCAAGGAAGGAAAAAGTTTATGGTGGAGTGTGGGAAATTCTTGATTGTTATTTCTAATAGTTATGTAATTCATTGAAATTTTACATTAATTTTTTCATTAGGTTAGTGAACATTTGTGCTCTTATGACTGTAATATTGCCTCGAACATTATGCTTAAAATTTAGAATCCGAATTCTAAAATTTTTGTTCTTAGGAAAGAACGAGATCGAGACCGGGATCGTGAAGATCGGTCTAAAGATCGGGACCGAGAACGTGATAGAGGAGATCGAGAGCGGGAGAGGGAGAAAGAAAAGGAGAAGGAATTGCGAGCTTCAACCAATGCTATGCTTATCAGTGCTGGATTACCACCTTTGAAAGCTTCCCATTCAGCTCATTCAACCCACTCTGCTCATTCAACACATTCGACACATTCTGCTCATTCAACACACACTGGACATGCAGGACACACATCACTTCCACAGTGCATTAATCCATTCACCAATTTACCCCATACACCTCGATACTATGATATTCTAAAGAAACGACTTCAGCTCCCTGTTTGGGAATACAAGGATAGGTTTACAGATATCCTGGTTAGACATCAGTCATTTGTGCTGGTTGGCGAGACTGGGTCTGGTAAGACAACACAGGTGAGTTACTTTTTCTTTTTTCTTTTTATTATAGTTGTTTGGAACTGAATATTACCTATTCTTTCACAAAGTAGAAGGCATATGTAGTCATCCCTACCTTATGCCAGAACTAAATACTGTTGTTGGTATGTTTGTAATAAGACATCTAGGATATTTTTCAAACATGGATGAGTCATTATTTACTGGGCTTCTGTTAATAGATATGTAGGCTTCACATGGGCAGGTATGTTTGTAGAAATGGAAACTTGGGCCAGGATATCATTTGCAGTTAAAATACATGTAGCCAAATTGCCTTCCCTTCATAAGTAACCTGTCAGTTTACCTTTCCATAAGCAAGTGTGAGAGCATGTTTGGGAGTATCACTGGATTGGAGTTTTTACAGATCTAATAGGTGAAAAAAATGAACCTGGGGTAATTTTTAATTTGTGTGTGTGTGTGTGTGTGTGTGTGTGTTTCCCCTGAGTGAGGTTAACTATCTTTTTTTAAGTTATATGGACTGCAAGTCAATTTGAGTATTTCATGGAGGCTTTTCGAAAGCTACTACAGCAACCAAAATAGAAAAGCTTTTATTGAAGACTGAACTTTAGTGAGTACTATTTTCAAGTGAAGGAAAACTTAGTGTTGATGTTAGGAAAAGAAACTGTAGCCTTTTTTTATTTTAATTAAACAAAATTTTAAAAAGTTTTAGAAACGTGCAAGTCTATAACTCTTAATTATGCTAATCTATTTCATTAAGTCCCGTGTTTTCAAATTTGCAAATATTTCAATGAAATGGACACGTGCATTCAGATACATTGGGAATAATGAAATACTAATTAATTATATCACTATACTAATTAAATGCTACATACTATATATTTTTATAGATGTTTCACATCTAATACAATAGGACAAAATGGAGCATTGTCAGAGTATTTTAAATAATCATATCAACTGTTTTACTGGTTTGCAGAATATTAACACACCTGTTAATTAATCAGGCATTGTGTACTTTACATGTATTATATCATTTTAAGTTTATATACGACTCTGCAGGGAAAGTAATCACATTTTATGGAGGACCAGAATGCGGCTTAGATTAATGAGAGAACTCTGGTTTAGTGGGCTGCTCTGGGTTAAATAGTTTCTGGATTTAGGTAAGTTCAGCATTAACAATTTTGTCCCTTTTCAATAACCAGTTATATTTATTTCATACTGCTGTTCTGTGGTCTGATGTGGTTCAGAGGAGTTTTTATTAGTAGTTAGTATGGATAATTTAATCGATTCAAGGCACAAGAGGCTTGTGATGATTTGGATTACACATGCTTTCAGGGGTTACTTTATGTGAATATTGAAGACTGCAGGGAATTTTGGGGATGTGAAAGGAAAACTAGAAAGTTTAATCAGTAAATTTCATCCAAATGCTTTTTAGTATACTGTTACCAAACGTGGACACAAACCTTAAAAAAAACTTAGCCGTTGTTTTGGTTATCCCTGCCTGTCAGAAAATGAAATCAAACATAATTTGAAATAATGTCTTTAACTTTTGAAAGAGCCATAGAAAAGACATTTTGCATTGTGCTTGGTGTGCACATACTATGCCTATATTTGAGAAATTGAAGCTAGTTCAGTCAGAGGAAAAACATGAGTGAGGGTACAAGTTTAGAGAAGGGAACACTGCACATTTTGACTAGTGTGCAGGGTGTGTGAAGGGTTGATGGGGTAGGTGAGACTGGAGCCCTAGGTTGAGCCTTACTACTTCTTGCTATAGGTAAGGAAGCCATCAGAGTGTTTAATTGGAGGGGAGTGACACAAATTTTTATTAAAATGTTCAGTTATGAAAGACCATATAGGAGATCCTAACAAAAGTTGACTTTGTGTGTAAGGTTAGTGGGAATGAGGAACAAAGAATGGAGTCTGTTTTTTACTGTCACTGAATAGGGGACATGGGAAAAATTAAAAGAACTTGAAGGAAGGTGAGAAATGGTTTTGCTTTGAAGTTGATGAATTTGAGATACCAATAAAATATTCATTATTCAGAAGGAGGTGTGACTACCAGGTTAGGGGGTAGGAACTAGAGTTAGGATTGACTTTGTTCTGTTGCAGGCAATGTTGGAATTTAAGAGAATAGAAAAGGCTACTCAGGACAATATATAAAACTGGAAAGCCCCAAGGAACAAGGATTAGGTTTTGGGAAAATAGCCTCAAGTGGAGGAAGGAAGAGCAGAACAGATGCCTACTTTGAGCAGACCAGTCACCCACATCTTTCAGGATATGCATCCCTTCCAAATTATATTTCCTTAGAAAGTTTGAGTAGATGCCTTATCATAAGCTGTTTTGGGAACCCTTAAAAATCTCTGAAACCTTTTCCAGGGTCCAAGAATTTCTTAGTATTTTTTCATACAAAACAAAATATTGCAACATACTGAATGTAGAGACAGAATTGAGGTTTCTTCCAATAAGCTAGACATGAGAGGGATGTAAAAATAATTAAATGTGCTTTACTAGCTAAGTATTGTTTTATTTGAAAAATATACATTTTAAAAATAGAAGATAGGTTGTTACTAGTAATTAGTAAACAATTTAGCTGCTTCTCAGTTTTAACTTCCAAATACAATAAATGTATTAATTGTTTGGTATCCTCATTTATTAACAGTATAAGGGGTTCTAAAAGAGAACTGCTAAATTAACCAAAACTATATATTTTTAAATTATCAATTTCACTGGAGTGAAATTTTTAAAAATGTGAATAATCTTGCCTTAAGAATTACGAATTAATTTTAAGTATTTTTAATCTGTAAGTCAGTACTTTTGAGGATTGGTAAAATGAGGGTAGATAATTAAAACCTCATAAGAAGACCACTTAACATGGGTCTGTTGGTTTGCAATACCAGGAAGACTCTGCTATTTTAGTGAAGTATTTTGTTCATTTAAAACCATGTAAAAATATTATTATGTTCTCAGAGAAGCAACATAATCATCTTTCATTTGTTTCTCCAGTTACAAGTTATTTCCAAATTAAAAAGTAACCTAACTAAAATGTAATAATAATGCAATAATCAATACTATTTATCAGATGTCATTGTACACATAGTGTACCCAAAAACCCCTTGTTTTTTTCTATAGCATTAGCACCTGATAGGCTTTTGGAAGCTTTGGTGAAGACAAATCATGTCCTTGTAGCAGTAGATTCCAGTTTTATGTGATGGTCATTTGCTTTTTTCCCATGGTTCTTTTTCAGTTAAGTCACTCGAGAAGAACCATAAAATGAGAGAATCTATGAGTGTGTGGATAATTAGGAAGGAAATATGCTGTCATCCTGACAACCATCTTGTGGTTGAGATTTTCTCTTTCCCCTTTCCCCTTGATTGACCTTACTCAGCGAAGTGCTATTGCTGTAGGCCATATTGAATTTGAGACTGGTAATTACTTTAAAGATGGTACCTAAAGTGTTGCCACTGTGCATAACATTCCTGAAAGATGGATTGAATTACTAGTAGGTGCTAGGATTTGGCTTCTGCTGGCTTACAGAATTTGAATTGGATTAAAAGATACTTGTGCAACAAGGGAATATTTTCTACTTGTATCTGCATATTGTAACTCATTGTATGAATTTTGATGCTGTACTTATTGGAAACTAACATTTTTGTTATTAAGTAGAATTTGTTTCAGGTAGGATTTTTTTTTTCCATTGGGTAGACAAATAGTTAATGATGGGACCACTTAAACACTGGTGAGCATACCAAGCAAAGCTTATGGATCTAGAGCACATGACCTCTTTTTGGATATTTTTCTATCTAAATTATATATGTTAAAGGAGTTATGATATGTTAAGTTTTTGTTATAAACAATTCTCTGTCACTTGCCTAATTGAATTTTATTTTAAATTATTGGAATGAGATAAAAGTGCTTTATATTAAACATAGTTGATATGCGGCAGAATAGAATTAATTTAAATGTGAAATTATTTGGTAGATTCCACAGTGGTGTGTGGAGTATATGCGATCATTACCGGGACCCAAGAGAGGAGTTGCCTGTACCCAACCCAGGAGAGTGGCTGCAATGAGCGTGGCTCAGAGAGTTGCTGATGAGATGGATGTGATGTTGGGCCAGGAAGTTGGTTATTCCATTCGATTTGAAGACTGCAGTAGCGCAAAAACCATCCTTAAGTAAGTACTTTATCTTTAAAAATGGATGCTTTTTCTAATTGTAGCTTTTCTGCCACTTGTTAAAAATTTTGCAAGTTATAAAAATTTAAAATTTGAATAGTTTGAAGTAGGCCACCTTTGACTTGCCAGGTGACATTTTAATGTGGATTCTTTTTCTTGGTTATAATATATGTTGCTTTTTAGTAGAAATTGAAGTTGGCAGATCAGGTTTTAGTTGCTTGAGGTTGTATCTTAAGTGAAAATGTTCCTATAAAATGTGTAGTTTTAGTAGACATGCTCTGAAATATCATTTAAATATGATAGAAAAGTAAGATATATCTTAGTCTGCGGATGTAGCAATGGTAGAGTGCTTGCATGAGGGCCCAAGTTCAACCCCAGCCTTGCCAAAAAGAAAAAAAAAAAGGATTTATCTTTGTAGAAGGACAGCTACTGTTAGAAAGAATGATATGTGAGTAAGGTGGGATATGAGTTAATTGTGGGCAAGGGACTTTTAATGTTAATTTTGCAGATCTTGATATGCATACATAATGAACTAAAAGGCCAAATCTTGTTATGTAATGTACTCAGGGCACCTGAAGGTGTGTTGGTTCCTCTTTACAGCTGTGGTACATGTGGTCATACTGGTCTTTTTGAATGTTTTAACTTGACAAAAATGTTTTCTTCATTTTATATAGTTGCATTCTGCACAAGTGGTATATATTTCCGGATAGTCATTTCTTTAAAAATCTCATTTTTTTTTCCTTATTGCTTTTGTTTATCTGCATTTATATGACATTTAAGTTATTTAAAAAGCTTATTTCTTGATGGGCACAGTGGCAAATGCCTGTAATCCCAGCTACTCTGGAGGCTGAGGTTGCAAGTTCAAGGCTGTCATGGTCATGGTATTTGCCTGTACTGTAGAGTTCATCCATGAAATAGTGCTTAAGGTCGATTAATTCTGGAGGAAGTTTTCATACTAACTTCTTTTGAATGCTATTTCTCACAGGGCTAGGGGATCTAGCTCAGGGGTAGAGCACTTGTCTAGCATGTACAAGGCCCTGAGTTCAATCCCCAGTACTGTAAACATAACAAAAAACCTGTGTCACAATGCAATTTCCCAAAGTTTTAAAAAAAGACATGTTGGAACAAAATGTTATGTGGTCAGTGACATGAGTCTTTGTTGATGGATCTATCTGTATCCATCTATAGGATTAAGAAATAAATGGGATTCTTGTCTCTTTTTTAAAAATTTTATATTTTATAGGTATTTAAAAATGTCTGCAGAAGTATACTAGTTTAGTGAACTCCCTGTATTTACTACGCATCTTCAACCTTGTTTCACCTATATCCCAGTGTTTTCCCTGTCTCATATTATTTTGAAACAGATTTTAGGTATCATGATTTCATCTTAAAATATTTTCTGTCTCATTTTCTTAAAATATAACTATGTCACAACTTTAAAAAAATCCCTTCAAACAAAATATTCAATCACTTAATGTTTTGTGTCCAGTTTTCCTCTAGTCTTTTGAAATATATATTTTGTTTCAGTAGAATTTGATATACAATTTCATTTTTAAGAGCATTTGAGTTTTAAAATGCTTAAGTCTCCTTAACTTTGATTTATAAGGGGTATTTTTTGTTTAAGTCTTAATCTTAGCTAAATTTTAGTGATCACATTATTTATTGGTTGTTTGTAATTACATTGTAATTGACAATAATTATGTGAAATCATAGCTTATTTGATACTACTGTAAAGTACAGATAATGTCTAGGACTTGAAGAAAATAGAGTAAGATTTTACTTGTCTTTAGTAGGCATACCTTTCTGACATTTGATTCACTGTATCATATTTGGGCAAGTTACAGTTAAGATTGGAATTTAGAAATCAGATGTGAGAAAGTTACCAGTATTAGAGGTGTGTATGTGTTTGTGTGTCTGTCTAGTAGGGAGTACGCTTGTGCAAGATTTTAAGTTTTTAGTAGGGAGTGACAATATAAATATACATCAGTAAAACATATGTTTAGCATTGTGATGTTTTCTTGTGGAGCAGTTCCCAAAGGTTATTTATAACTAAACCTCTTCAAGAAAATTTATTCCAGACAGGGTAAATTTATTAATGTTCCTCCTTAAGGTAGGGAGTAACCAGTGTTGTTTTTAAGTGACATTATATTAGTTAAAGGGTATATATTATTTTAAATTGCTTTAAAAGGAAACGTTAAAATTTCCAGTGTAATTCTTATTTAATATGAAGAGGACTAATGGCAGTTTTGACTGATAAGAATACTTCATTAAAAACAGTGGTTTATGATTCCCTTGGTGTATTTCATAAAGTCACATATCAACTCATTAAGAAACAACATGTTATAAACATCTAAAGTTGTAACTGACTGACATCAGTTATATAGTTAATTGGGTAGGAAGAATGCATTCATCAGAATATTCTCTGAAGATTCTGCTTGAAGGACTCAGAATTTAAGAGTTTTTTTGAGAACAGCCACATTGCTGTATTTTTTAATTGTACACAGAGTCCAAGGTAGTTTCTTCATGGTTTGAGATACATATGCATAGATGATTAGTCTAATATTGTGCTGTTTTCAGAGGATCAGATCTCATATAAGTTAGTGTGTACTCTGGTTTTGAAGTCGTTAGTAGTTACTCAGTCCCAGTGGACAAGTTGCTAAATGGTTTTTGTGTTCTGTTAGGTATTTGCTTGTTCCCATCCTTTACTTCTTAAACTTAAGCAACATATTTATTTTCCTGTTGCTGTCTTAGTTAGAAATTTGGGGCGGGGAGGGGGGCAGCCCGATTGAGATGGCTCTAAAGAAGAGAAGACCAGATAGTAAAACACAATGATGCCATACCATGTTTTTGACTGGTATCGATGGCATCTAGCACTTCTGCAGTGGATTTTAAGAAGCATTTTGTAGTTGGAGCTCTACAGGATTTATTTATTTATTTATTTATTTATTTATTTATTTATTTATTTATTTATGGTGCTGGGGATTGAACCCATGCCTTGTGTATGCAAGGCAAGCACCTTACCTACTGAGCTATATCCCCAGCATTTGCAGTTGTACATGATTTAAGAAATTCATCACTTTTTTTGAGGCAGATGAGTTTTTTGTTTGTTCTTTTGTGGTGCTGGAGATTGAACCCCAGAGCCTTGGGCATGCCAGGCATTGCTCTACCACTGAACTGATTAATTTTTAGGGAAGACAGTGACTTGATAATCTTGTGCCTGTGAAGAAACACAATATTTGGTTGTTAATTTGGTAGCCAGTTTCATTGTTATTTTAGGGGATATGCCTTTTGTTTTATTCCAAAGCTGCAAAATTACTGAGGTGTTTTGATATCAAGGCAATCCACTTATGTACCATGTAATGCTTAGTCATTCAGTCATTTAATTGAGTACTTTGTGTAGGGTGAGCAGTGCTAGGTATAGTAACAAAAAAGAAATCTGGTTCTTGTCCCCATAAAGCAAATCAAGTATAAATATAAAATTTCCAATTGAGATAGAGTCCAAAATAGAATATATGGAAGTATGCTTTGAGGATTCAGTTCAATTTGGAAAAGAGAAGTGTGTATTTAAATCAAGGCCTAAAACAAAAGTAGTACCAGCCAGAACAGGGATTGGGGTGCAGGGTGAGTGTGTTCCAAGCAGATGGAACAGTGGGTTTTTTTGTTTTTTAAACTTTGTTTTCTGAATGGAAAAAATCATGACTTTTTACTTGAGAAGGTCCTATAGTCCTATACCTACTGTATATTCTTTAAATATCCAACTGATTTGTCTAAGGCAACCTTTTCATATCAGATCAATTTTAAGATGTTAAAGGACTTGTTTGTGTACCATGTATAGATAGATGATTGAAGATAGCCTTTTTGGTCTTTCTTGCTTCATTAAACCATAAACACAGGGAATGGGGTTTGTGTCTGTATCTGTGTATACTTGCCATGCACACAACAAATAGAACTTTTGTTCCTTTTTAATCTGAGGAAGTTAAAGTCATAACAGGAGTTTGAAATTTTGTCACTATGTTGTAGAATTTGGATGACTTAAGCATAGTCATGACAAATGGATAGATAATTCATGAAAAGACATTTTCTCTGACTTTGTTAAAATTTCTTTTGTGAAGATGGGGTATAGTATATCTAATTTGCCTTTTCCTCCCTAAGTTTGTCCATTTGGATTCATTTGAAATTTGGAATTTTACAACACCAAGGACCCCATCTGAGATAAAGTTTATGAACCAGAGCAGGTTTTAAAGAACATGTGTGTTAGCACTGTAAGACTGTGTACCACCTTGAGATGTTTATCTGGTGTGTAACTTCAGGGCAAACTGCTAAAAAGGCAAGAAAAGGTAAAGACAGGAAGATATGGTTGAAATGTAATTGAATGACTAGAGAGATGAACAGTCTGGGATTTCAGGGTGTGATAAACTGTCCCTTGGAAAGCTTGAGTGAGATAAGTTTTGAACAGACCAGCCGAAGAACGTGTTTCCATACAATTTGGATCATAAACATGTAGACTTTGTTTTTAATCTAAATAAAATAAAATAATCTCTGTAGGCAAGAAGATGAAAGAGAATACCAGGGTATTTTAACAAATACGAGCTTAATAAAAACACTACTACAGTAAAGAGCTGGAGGGTGCATTAACCTTTAAGGTGGGCACTGTCATTGTAAGGCATGGCCATAGCAGATTCTTTCATGTCCCTGGCAGATTCTTTTTGTGCCCCAGGAAACAATAAACTGAAGCAGTTCTGTTTAAGGACTACTACAGAATTTCAGAGTGGTTGTTCAACAGGCACCCTCATATTAAAAATAGATGATTTGAGACGAGAACTTAAAGTAAGTAGATCCCAGAACACTGCCTCTGGGGTCACAGTACCTAAGTTGTGTCCTAGCTCTGCAGTATGATTTTGACTGTTAATTAACCTTCCTGTACTTACTGCTTTTTCAGAAGATGGAAATTATAATAACTACCTTATGGGGTTATTCTGAGATTCATGTTAATTTGTATG